CTTAACATTTTGGATTTTCTATCACTTTCAGTCCTGGTGCAATGGTCACCAGGGCAAATAGAGATAATGCATTTCCCTAGCAGAGACTTAGACAGCAATAAAAAAAAAACAGTTCTAATCCCCTTACTAATCTATCCAAAACTAAAAACAAATGGCTTTAGATACACTTTTAGCAACACTTATAGGTCTTATCCTACGCCCCAGCCTGTGACTGGACAGTGAAGCAAGAAGCAGCACACTGGTGAGCTCATCCTGGTGTCACTCTGTTCTCTGATCCTATCAGCATTTTCCTTGTTAGCACATGAGCACTACAGTACAACTGGAATTCTGTGCTGCTTCTCCCATTCCCAGTCTGAGCTCTGCTTGACAGGGGATTACACGAATTCAGGTACTTTCACTGCATTTAAAAAAAATACATGTAATGGTAATAAATATATAGCTGCATTAATTTGCGTCCTTTATATCTGCCTGGAGCTTAAAATTTAGAAAGACAGCTTTAGACATGGCTGTGGTGCCGTTTAACAGTGACTCCTGTCAGCCATACACTTCAAGTACGACAAGAATCAAACCAAGCAGTCATGTGTCAGCGAAGCTAAACGGCCACAGGGACATAATAAATATTCCGGTTCAAGGCAATTTCACAAACTGCAGCAATTATCTATTATTTCTAACACATGTGACGGACCGTTCTGAAATCCTTTCTCCAATTTTCTCATAATAAGCATTCTGGGTTGAAAGTGGAATTGTGCACAGTTTCAAATAATGTTCCTAAGAGACTTAATGGAGGTTTCATTAAGGAAATGGGCATTAGATTACTTGACGGAGACAGAAAAAAATGCTCTCTAATGAAATACCACTGATATGAAATCAGACGAAGCATAAATCAAGAGTTTGTTTTTAAGTTAGCCTTTAAGATGATGTGCAGGTAGACACACACATACACAGTTATAAATGGTGAGCTCGTGTCCAGAAGTCATAGAAGCAGATACTTGACTGAGTTAGGTTTTATTCCAGGCTGTTAAATTTTTTTCAGACACATTTAACTAAATTTTCAGATGTGGTGCTAAAAGTGCCAATCTGACATTTCCCTTACTCGAGGGGCACAATCTAGAGGGTTGTGAAAACCAATATGCATTCTTCATTTACCTTTTACTGTTAGTGTTCTAGCCATAATGAGTAAAACAGGTGCTGTCTCACATGATATAAATCCTGCTTTTAATCATTGTTATGACTGAAGCTGGGATATAGGTGTGAAATTCCCTTTCCCACAAAGTAGACAATCATTTCCCAAAGAAATCTGCTTAGCAGGTCACAAAAATTCCCTATAGCTGTAATGCAGCTGTGCAGAAGGCAAATAAGAACCTCATGGATATGCTGAGGGCTTGTAGTTGCACAAGTGCAGAAATCCCAACTTGTAATAACTACAGTAATTTCAAGGAAGTCGCCTTTGTGGCAGATAGCAGGGGAATCGCCAGATAGTGGAGGAGCTAATGCTTCCCCTGCTATCTGCTGCTTTTTTGTATTCTGAATGCTGCCGTAGGCCACCGTCAGAATAATAAAAAAACAAAACAAACCTACAGATAGCAGGGGAATGCACAGCAGCAGAACTTCAGGTCCACCTCTGCTGATTGACAGCAGCAGTGGGCAGTGCAATATTCCAATTGCAATCGCCAACAGCCTGCTGTTGGCGATTGCAATTTGGAGTGGCCGATAGAAGCCTAGCGGCCGCCATCAGACTACATAAAAAAAACCAAAAAGTAACAGCAGATAGCAGGGTATCCCGGAAAGGTTTACTCTGCTAGATAGAGCAGTGTAAACTCTGTCTGGGATAAAATGTTTCTCTCACGGGCATCAGGGAGCAGCTATCTTATAGCGGGAGACTTCTGAAACATCCGGGAGAGTTGGGATGTCTGCTATCTGGAAAGCCTGGCATTTGTGGATATAGTCAGTCTGAAGGGGCCCAGACTGCCAATCTGGCAATTAAGGAATGGCCAGAATAGCTAATCTACATAGTATTATAGTAATTGTGGCCTGATGTAAACGCTTGTGGCTTTATACGACCGAATCATTACTTGTAAAATTCATTGAAGCCTATACAGATTCTGAACTTGTCTAATGTCTATGGGGCCTGTACATATATATTAGACTTGGCTATATATACATATATACTTCGCCCCCACGCAATTTTCACTCGCCAATTGCGAGCGGGCGAGTGGAAATTTTGAGCCCTGCATTACATTATACAAACAAACTGTATTGCGATTCTAAAACTGCATTGTATTCCTGTGATAAACGCACGTAACTGAAAACGCCTAGGTGTGAAACAGGCTTCAAGGTGGCTAAACTGAACACAAATTCCAATGCATTCATAGAAATAAGGCGGGGAGATTTTCCTATTGTGGTCCCCAAAAGTCATAAAAAACACAACTGTTGACTGAACTTCGGCGTCGACTCAAATCTGAATTTTGTGAATGATAAATTTTGATTGCTTTAGTCCAGGGGTCTCAAACTCAATTCCCTCGACAAATTTTTTTTCTCCCATGGGGGCCGGTCGCAAAATTTCAAACTTTAAAAGGAGAACTATGAGGTGAGTGAAAATCACTCAGCCTCATAGTTGGAGCCGACATGCGACAATGAAACAGTCACACGTCAGCTCAATAGATCGGGAAGTGAGTAAACATACTGTTAGTCACGGCTCCCTGCAGGGATTCCCCCCCTCCGCTCTTCCAGCGCTGACTGGAGGAACGAACAAGGGGAGGGGGTGGGTACAGCTGGCTCTGCCTCTAGATAGGCAGAGCCAGCTGTCAATCACGCAGCTGGGTGGATCTCAACAGTAATGTCGGGATCCGTCCAGGCTGCGGCGGTCTAAGTATAACGCAAGCTGTAGCTCTCGGTATACTGAGCTTTGGGTCACGCGAGGACGCTAGTTTATGTCCTCCCGTGACCCTGAAGAGACCTATGGGGAAAAACACTTACCTCATAGTTCTGCTTTAAAATAAAATTTTACTATATGCGATATGGTACTACGGACCCCAATACACACACAATAAGGCTCCATTCATATCTGTAGGTTTAGGTGCAATAAGGTATTCCTGCGTCAGAAACTTGCGTTTTCCTGCAGCAGGAATCCCTAATCTGGTGTTGACACATGGTCGCTGTCAACCATTCAAATTAATGATCAGGTGACAGCAGTTGCATGTAAATGCCTGCACACCACATGTAATGATGTGTGATATTATTACATGCGGTTAGAAAAAACTCTCCCTGAATAAACACGCGCAGTGCAAGAGTGTATATGCAACTTCTGTCACCTGATCATTAACTTGAATAGTTGACAGCTGCCGCATTTAAACGCCAGATTAGGGATTCCTGATGCAGGTAACGCATGTTCCTGATACAGGTGTGAATGGATCCTAATACACTTATACTCTCCCCCACTTCACATAAAAAAACAAAAACATTATATATATATACAGGTGAAACTCGATTAGAATATTGTGCAAAAGTAATTGCAGTAAGTGCTGCAAAAGGGGCCCAAACCGAGTACTGAGTACATATGCATGCTTGTACTTTTCAGAGGTCCGATATTGTTCTATGTACAATCCTTGTTTTATTGATTGCATGTAATAATCTACTTTTTTGAGGTTGTGGATTTGGGGTTCTTGGGGTTTTCATGAGCTGTAAGCCATAATCATCACAATTATGACAAATCACGGCTTGAATTATCTTGCTTTGCATGTAATGAGTCTATCTCATATATTAGTTTCACCTTTTAAGTTGCATTAGTGAAATAAATGAACTTTGCACGATATTCTAATTATTCGAGTTTCACCTGTATATTCCCAGTCCCCCCTACACACATAATATAATTCCCAGTCTTACCCCAGCCCTCCCCGCACACCCAGATGTAAATAAAATACACCTCTCCTGCTTACCTTGTTGCAGGGAGGAGGCTGTGAGCCACGATCACCGATCCCTGGTGATCTGGTGGCGATTAGTAATGTCCGCTGCACACCTTACTAATCGAATCAATCTTTTCGGCCAGCGTTTAGCGAAGACGCCGGCCGAAAGGTTCCGAGTGCCGGCACAGAAGCAGCTATGCGGTCTGCATCCGACAGAGATGCAAACTGTGTAGCTGCTCCCGAAAGTCTGGTACGCGGTCCGTGGCCGCGTACCAGACTTGTGAGCTGGCTGCGGGCCACAACTGGCCCGGGGGCCGGTACTTTGAGACCACTGCTTTAGTCTTTTGAAATTAAATAGGGCCCATATTTAAAAAGGTAATATTTACTTATGGGGGCTGCTACTGATCTTTCTAAAAATACTAAATGCTTGGCTTGTCTCTGGTTACAATATGAGTCACTGAGTATGAAGATCAGGATGCTCAATGTGAAATCAGAACTCTATGTTCATACTGGATCCTGGTCAGCGACCCACAAAGTACAGTAACCATCGGATCAACATGACAGGGAATAAACAGCAATGGTAGCCTCCATATTTCCTCTGTACAGGTTTCTTGGAAAAGTACAGAAAACACAGTTCATACTCCTACAGGTTTTGGCGCTATAGTCTACAGCGGGGGTGTGCAACTCCAGCCGTTGTGGAACGACTGGAAGTCCCATGTTATAGCATGACTGACAGATACAGGCATGACCCCCAGGGGCATGCTGGGATTTGTAGTTAAAGCACACCTGGAGGGCCAGAGTTACCCACCCCTGGCCTACAGTCTTTGCCATCTTTTCAAAATATCAAGGTTGTGCTTAAACTGTATGAATGTAGATTTGATTTAAAACAGCAACTACACTGCAAAGTGTTCCTGGAAATGAACTTGAAACATTTGGGAAATGTGGCACATGTCTAAATGTAGCATGTGCATAAAATGAGGAAATAGAACTGCACAGAACTGCCATTGTTTGGTAGGCTCAAGTTAAAAAAAAAATGTTTTCTCCTGTTTTAAGTATAATATAGTATATATATATAACCAGGACAGAAAGTATACTTACTCAGCTGTGGAAAATGCTTGTTCAAAGTTCTGTTTGTGATTCGAAGGCTTCAGTGCATCATAATCAAAGGCCTCAGGGAAGAACGAATGTACAAGGGCACAAAAAGCCATGCCGTCATTCCAGCTCGAAGAAAAGTTCTGTAGATCAATGTTCTGATTACCAATAAAAAGAAAGGAAAGATGGAAAATAAAGACTTAAAAATAACTTAATACCTATATACTCAAACACTATAATCAGAATATCTATCTACTGTATGTGTATATATATGTATGTGTATATATATGTATGTGTGTATATATGTATGTGTGTATATATGTATGTGTATATATATGTATGTGTATATATATATATATATATATATATATATATATATATATATATATATATATATAGTGATGTTTGGGGATATTAGCACATATGGTGAGCGCTTTAAA